ATGCTCAAACAGCTGGACACCATAGATCTGATACTGAGTGACGCTGTGAGTGTTCTATGCTGATCAACATCCGGCCAATTCTCTCTGGTTCAAAAATGTCGCAAAGCTGATACCGATTTTTGATGAGACCTGGACGTAAACTCTTATTATTGGCATAAACAAATACTTGGCTAACACAACAAACTACAGTATATCATCAGAATTTGGAACAAACATGTTTACAATAATCCATTAAATTTTGTACTCGTGACTCCAATTATTTTTAATAATATATCCATACGTATGCATCCATCCATCCATCCATCCATCTACCATTACGTAGTAAATGATGTGTGTAGTTTAGTTGACTCAAATAACAAACTAGACGATTGCAGCTCTCATGATTACAACTAGTAAGAAAACAATTTTCTACGGGTTAAATGGAATAAATATTGACTAATGGAGTGTAGTTGTAGCACACATATACACAAGCACACACTCTTGCTTGATTGACTGATGAATGGATTGATGAAACAAATGGTTTATTTAATGTTCTGTTTACTTTATGCAATGTAAGCTATTAACTTAAGCCATAAATCGAATAAGAATAATGGTTCACAAGTAACTAATTAACGAAACAACATTTTAATCATTTTTGGCATTAATTGGATGTGTTTATTATTTGTGCGTTTCGGCTCGGCTTACACAATTCATAACTATTTATTTTTAGATAATGTTTAAGACTGAACATTAGTCAGTCGATTGGATGATTGTGTCAGACACACACCGATCATTCAAACTGTTGTTTGATATCATTGATGAGTGAGTGGAATGGAAAGATCTTCAACCTTAAATCAAACTTTTGTAATTTTCATGAATATACATGGTATCCGATGCCTCTGAGAACTGGTGCAGTCAATGGAATTAAAGTATCGTTAACAGAAAATAGAGTGTCAAATGTAGAAATCTACAGGTTGAGTAATTTCCATATAGGTCAGATAAATTCTGGAAGTTTCATTGATAGGTCAGACAACATACTTATCTCCACAGAACATGCTTCCTATGAATTCACCTGATGAAAATCAAATGACAACAAATGGGTACTCCTCTTAAATAAACTCAATTATGATTACTCCTTATCGTATGCGTTCAAATTAATAGATTTTACTTTCTATTTGATGGCATTCAGGTTAGTAGGTGACCAATCTCATTACTCGTACTCCATATGCGGTAATGCTGACAATATAGATCTCCGATCACAATTTTGGCTGGTCCGGTCAATTTTCGAGTAGTAATTTCCTGTAATATCTTAATCACTGGAGCTGTGCTAATCACACATAGTAGTTGAAACATTCCAGGTGCCTACAAGTGGACAGATTGAGATCAGCTACTCGACTAAAGTACATTATTGAGTCAATATCATGTTGAAATAAAAAGAATTGAGGTGATTCTCCTGCAAACATCACCACAACGACAACTTGTATCACTGAGACTATGTCTGTCTAATCATCACTCACCAAAAGTGTTTCCGTCAACTGGTCAATATCACCAATGGTTCACTCGTCCCGATTCAAATATATTAATATTAAGCGAACACATATATATTGAGTGGAAGAAAAACATAAATATAGAATAATTGTAGTGGGTGAAACTGGAAACATGTGGATATAAAAATGTTGTTCTCCAGTTCAGATATTAGTGAAACCGATTTGCAGTCTATCTATCTAGGATTATCTGTTGTAGTCGCGCTAGCTATACATTATGCAACCGCGTGAGGAGTGAGTCGAAGTGTTAAATGACATGAACATTTAGAGCTGAGATACTTTAAAATATTCCGGGAAACCATATTCTCTTTTTCGGAAGTAACTCATTCTCTGAGTGCAGCCAAATGTACTCAACCTACAATCACAAATGTCTCACCATTGATTGTCAGTGAGTGATCAGATAATGGTACTTGGGAATTAACTGTCGAATCATTAAGACACTGTTAGCACCTACACTCTTATAAAGCAAGCTTTATGCTGATTCATCGTGACTTTAATTGACTTAGTTGAGGTAATACAAAACAGTAAACTGTCAATTCTCGATTGCTTTGTTATACAATGTATTTTGATTTAGCGAGATTACCTACACGAACAAACCTACACTTTCTTCTTCTTCTTCATCTTCTTCATATTATTATTAATATAATTATTATTATCAGCAATATTTTTGTCCAATGTTGATAGTTTCCTTGATTTTGTCGAATGTAATGTGAGCACATAGTCTTATTGATTGCAATGTTTAAGGTCTCATCAGCAGTTGCTTCCATTCGAAAAATTCGTTGAAAATCAGGAAACACCAGACTGTCGTTTGGTTTCAGTTTAAGATACTTTAGCAGTGCAGTCAATGACTTCACAGTCTTTATGATGGAATGACTGTTCTGTCCGTTCTAGTTTTCTATGAGTTCTGTGATAACATAAATTCATGATAGCAGTTTCAACTATGAATTAATAGTAGTGTATTTACTAGCTTTCTCTATTGATTGATAATTATGTGACTGGTAGTCAAACATTACTTTTCACTATTGTTCAGTGATTAGAACTTAAGCTTGTTGAAAAAAGAATTGATCAGAATTACCATAAATGCTCAAATTTGAAACAATTAGTCCTATTGATAAATTTATCTGATGTAATGAGGCGACGAATTTTGTCAGAACTATGTGATATATTTGTTTAATGCATTTCGAACAATGTAATTGCACCTCAAGTGATTCAGTTGTTTCCAACTGAGAAATAAGAATCGACTAGACATT